TCAGGTTTGTTGGCTGGAATTCTTCTGAGGCTGTATATGGGCCTATTCCAAAAGCATTGAAAGCATCATTTTCCATGACGTCCTGGACATATTCAGGGTCGTACCATGGATGGACCTCGGAGTCAAAGCCACAGGCATGGCGGACACGGTAGTACAAGCAGCGAGCCATGCCATCATGTCGTTTAAGATATGCTGTTTGTGTCAAGGAAGGGCATCCATTGACAAGGTGTTGGACAGTTTCTGTAAAATTCATTACACAGTCGGCATTTCATGTTAATATTTTCTTTAAGAATCACATTTAGGCGATTGCGAAGTGGGAAGTGACTGGCCATGGGCAGCAAAAAAAGCCCTCTGTTTCACATTTAAGACCAGCCGACTTCATCCAGGCGAAGGAGTCTGTGGGATCGCTATTCTGTTCCACACACTGCATGTATACACGATGCAATGGTTTCTCAGAAAGCTTCTCCACAAATGTCCGACTCTGGGCAGACTTGGTGAAGGACTTCACATGGTTTACTCCCATCACTGTACCATCCAGCAGTACATCACCATCAACACAATCAACCTCAAATTTCAGATTCTGTCCAACAACCTTGGCATGTTTAAAATAGCTGTGGAATTCCTTGCTTTCATCATGAGTCTTGACATCCATCACCAGAGATTCATCCGATAAATTTATATGTGCAAAGGTACACAATAATATTCTATAATGAACAGCCTCCATATTAATCAAACCCCGACCTCCAGAATTGATTGGCATATATAAACGGTTAATACGCAAGGTTCCTCATTCACACATACCATACAAACGGGCAGCTCTACACAAAAGCAAATTCACCGCTTTCGGAACTTTCACCGCATGTGCAATCCGCTCCTTAGACGAATCTCTTAGGTGCATTAGAGCGATGATCATTCGCAACATTCAGCAGAAACAGTTTCAACCTGTCTGCTTATCAACTATACAAGGAGCGTAGTACTAATTATAGTTCTCTGATTTTACCGACAAAAATGGTTCCTCAATTATATATAATAAAATATGATAAAGAAAGTCTCTGTACTCCTTTTTATTTCCCGAAAGTGTGGTAATGTAGACTTGCCACATGGGTGTATTGGGTATATTTGTTTCAGGATCTAAATCGACACTCTAATGCCACTATAGCAGGACGTATAAACTGCATATAGCCCATACAGAACAATCTTTTAGCTTTAAACACCAGGTATCTCCCTTTGTGAATGTTTACAAAACTGTAAATATTTTGTAGATCTGGGCCCTTATTCTCGAAACGTTCGTAGCCCTAAGAATTCTTAACTTTGATCGTAGCCAATGTGTTAAGAATGGGCTTAAGAAGTTCGTATGGCTTAAGAAGTTTTGAGAATAGCTAGCCTGATCTTTACAAAATTGTAAACGCCTTGTAAAACTCATCTTTCAGGACATTTACAAGTTTGTAAACGTACACTTTTTTGCAGTGTTAAGCACAGCACATTTCTCTGTTTGTTGGTGTCACACATAGTACTCTACCGGGTCCCAGTTTACTGTTTAGGCCTTTTTTTAAAATTACTTGGTGTACGGATTTAAAAAAAGATATTAGGTCGGTAGGGAGGAAAAAAAAGGGAATATGGAGATGTCATTTGTACATATATGCCAGGTGCAGCATGTACATCGAAGGTACGTATCCAAACGCGTCTGGGTGCTATTCTGATCCCCGGTAGATACATTTCATTTAATACATTAATAACAGATTGCCGATAACACGTGCTTTGTGTGAGACAAACTCACAGTTCGATTACTCGGAACCATCAAATGGCGGATTCTGTACTATCACAGCTAGCACCTTTTATTACAATATAGCTAAAACATATGGACAGAACTGGTTTATGGAAAATATATGTAATAAATTCGAAAGCTTTAGTCAGCTAAACTGAATATTTATAATGTATCTTGTGGCAAATGCGTACCTGTATTTGGTTTTATTACACTTAAAAAGTATTATTGTAATTGTCTATTCAAGGAAACATTTGCGATTCTTAAATGTCAGTTAAATTTGAAGAAGTTAATTTACACTTAAGACATAATTTCCTCTTTATAAACTTTAAACCATATTTATAAATAAACATTTTGAAATATAACTGCAGCTGAGGATTGTTAAATAAAATATGTTTTCAACAAAAAATTCTTCTTTGTCATATCAGTAACATTTTTTCCAATAGGTTCAATTCTTTATAAACAGCGATGTGCTTCTGGAATGTGTATTTCTATTGGGAGTTATCGTTCGTGTTTGAAGTAGTTCTGGTCTCCATTCCATTCGGATGGAAATGACATCATTGTAACCACAATACCTTCCGTCTAGCTTTCATTTGATATAAGACAACTGACATCTGAAGATGTTTTAAACCATCATTTTATCGGGTACAAAGTGATGCCTGACGGGGTTCTCGAAATCGCGATTCTAGGTCACCTCCAGGAATATGATAAAACAGGTGGTGCACTCCTATATTTTCAATTCTAACATTCAACTTCATGTTTGGGCCTCAGAAAAAGTAGTTTTGTTGGGAGGTCGGTTCACACAGTGGACACGGTGGAGCTCATGACTTAAATTGATGTTAAATATATGTGGTGGCCCAGTTACTGTCCTTCGATGACAGGATTCTAACTACATGTACGTATTATGCATGTATTACCCTTCTAGTCAGGATATGGCTAAAATACTGCCGAAGGTAAATTTCATCCAGCTCAGTTCCGATAATCAGGGCAATTTAGATTGAGCTTTTGATATCCTACCGACAGGCAAACACTTGCAACGTCTCTACTCACAAAACCCAAAGTGATGGCGTAAAAATCCTGGAAATCCTGCAGGAAGCAGAGGCATCGTAAGTCCCCTTGATCCCCAGGAAGGTGGTCTATCTTTGGTCGCTAGTGGTCTATAGCCTGGTTTGATTATACTAAATAGTCCGAGGAAGTAATATTTGAGTTGAGGTGCGGCGAGTCTTAGGTTTCTATAACATTTGTCATCTATACTAAAGTTAGGACTTTAGTTGCAAGTGTCGCTTCAGTAATAAACAATGAAAGCAGGGGCGGATGAAGGAGTGTGTGCGTGAGTGCGTGCGTGCATGCGTGCGTGTGTGCGCACCCCTGCAATCCCCTTCTGGATCCGCCTATGGCAACGCAGTACAAACACTTGTTTGGCTTGATATATATATATAACTCATACCATGCACATGGACATCGGTTAGAGAACGTTAAAGACGTTGAATGTTTTAGTTTGAGATGTCCTTGATAGTGTCGTCTGCAAGTCTTATGAAAAGTCACATTTATGGTCTGGCTTGTAACTCACGGGAGGCTATCAAGGTTTAACCAATTGCACATTTTCTTGGCCAATATTAGCACGTGCTTACTGATTTTTTCCTAGTTTGGTTGAGTTAAGTTATCCTAACCAATGGTGATTAGCATTGTGCATGTAATGTCTTCGGAGGCTTGAAGGGACAATGTCACGTTGTCGCCCTTACAAAACATGCAAAAAGTAACAAAATTAACCATAGTGCGACCATGCGACATTTTGGCCATTTGTCGCATTATCGCACTTTGAATAATATTTTTTATTCAACCAAAGGACGACAATGCGGCATGACAACAGTTTTCAAGGTCAAGACATATCATATTATCGCATTGTCGCTCTTTGGTTAATTTTACCACTGTTTCTTGTTTAAAATTGTGAGGGCGACAACGCGACTATGACCCCTCTAGGAGTCCATATATGTCATCCTCACAGCTAATTCAACTCATATTTTGCTACAGTTTTGAATAAAAGCATTTTAATGCATGTAAGTAACTTTGCATTGATACTCTATATGTGGAGCTGATATGCGTAACAAACTACGACTTCACGGTTGTTTCAAGTCGGAGTTCGGTGCTGAGGCATACGTCATTACCCCTATGGCCAAATCTCACAGAAAAGCGTTAGCCGTTTTTAGATGTGGAGTCGCCCCTATCAGGATAGAAACAATATATTAACCTCTCTGTTGCAGAACGAGTTTGTTTTAACTGTAATGACTGTACCGAAGACGAAACCCATGTGTTACTGCGATGTCCTCTATACAATGATGTCCGACAGGTTTTACTGCAGAGATGTGCTGAAGTGTGGCCCGAGTTTAATACTGCTGATGACATCACTAAAACTAGTTTTATGTTATCTTGCACTGTGATAGTCATTTTATGTTCCAAAACATGTAAACTTATTTTAGACAAAGGAATGGAAAAATTGTACAATTCCTAGTTATATATTTTATGCTTTTAATATGTTCCCTATGTATGTATGTATGTGTGTGTGTGTGTGTGTGTGTGTGTGTGTGTGTGTGTGTGTGTGTGTGTGTGTGTGTGTGTGCATGTATGTATGTACATATGTGGCAGACTCAAATATATATATATGTACATAGGTTTTAGTTAGGAAGATTATATTAAGTATCAAGGTGGATGGCATTGTTTCCATTTAATGACTCACTCTATTAAACAATTAGAACACCTGTAAGAATCTTAGTTATGTTTTATACTTTATTTTACTCTTAGTCTATAGCTCTGCATAGTATTAGTAAGCCTTGTAACTCTCAGTCTAACCTCCACTAATTGTCACACTGCATGCTTCCAACACTCTTTGCTCCAGCTCCCAGTCATTTCTATTGTTTTACTGATAGGCCAAGCTGGCCACAGCTAAACTACAATGTTCAGATTTTAAACTCAGATGCCGTCTTGTACTGTTCAAGGAGAGATATAGCCAGAGTCATGGGAATTCTATGACGATTTCAGGTTGGTTCATATTGTATAAAATGTTGTATATATGGACAGTTTCTTGTTTACTAGACTTAGAAATATAATGTATTGTCCATGTAAGTCAGACTTGGTTTACTTGAAATATAATATAACTTATAAATATGTATAGTATATCAACGTATATCAACTAAATATTAGACAACTTATAAAAGTAATTACTAGTCCGCTTAAATGCATGTCCGTATGTTTGATATGTGTGGTTGATTGACATATATATGTAATATTACATGTCATTTCATGTTTTATTTGTGTGGCGAATGCAATTGTACTTTTAAACATTATTTTATATCATATCACTTGTATATATATTGTTCTCTGCATACATACGTATTTGTTATGCAGATCTGTGAGTGTGATCATTCAGAAGAATATCCTCCATTATGATCAGCTTGGGTACAACCAGCCTGGTATGTAATACCTGACCAGATTCCCTATATACCAGAAATGTATTTACAATAATATTTCCTAAAGATACCTACAGTATGTCTTTATGATCGTTGTATATTTGTACTAATATTATGTAACATTATATCTTGTGACATAGTTCAGATGTATTTAACTAGGTGTATCTTATATATAACAAGTTTTATGGATAACAACTTCTTTATTTTCGTGAGTGCGACGTTTCGATACAGATTCTTGTACCGTTGTCAAGCAAGAGTGATACATGAAGTGTAGGAGCTGCATATATATACTGTATATAACAATGAAACAACATAATAGACAAAGGAAACAACATAATTGCCATGATTGGCTAAGCAGTAAGCTGATGAAGCCAGTAAGTACATAAAGGATAGTGAATGGAAGCCAGAGATGTAGTTACAATGAGATGTTTATACAATGGATGCGATGTTTATACAATAGACTGGGCTTGGTGGAGGAGTGGATCATAAGCAGATGGAATGAAGTATCCTTGGTCACGGTTGATGGTAGGCTTGTGGCGTTTGATGTGAATGGCTTCTGTGAGCTTGCGTTTAGTGAAGTCCGTTTGGTTGTTGGCGAGAATGGTGATGTCGGACCACTCTATTTGATGATTGGGGTTGGCTTTGATGTGGTCAGAGATAGCTGATTTGGTGTCGGAATTAGCAACAGAGGTGCGATGTTCTTTGACTCGGGTGTTGATGGGTCGGGATGTTTCACCTATGTAGCATTGTCCACAATCACAGTCTATTTTGTAAATAACACATTTCGGGTTGTTGTTGTTGACGGTGGGTTGTTTTCTTCCGTTGGCATGGAGGAGGTTGTTGAGGCTGGAGGACGCTGAGAAGGTAGTGTCTATTCCTGCCTGTTGTTTCAGGAGTCGGCTGATTTGGTGTGATGGTTTACCAATGTAGGGAATGGATATCTTGATGGGGGCTGATTCTGGTTTAGATCTTTTGGCAGGAGGTGAAAGCGTTGCTTCGATGGTTCTGTTGACTATTTCAGGTGGGTAGTGGTTGCGTTCTACAAAGACTTTCCTCAGGTGTTCAATTTCTTCCTGTAGGTTTGTTGAGCAGATGTTTTTGGCTCTTCTGGTCAAGCGTCATCTCTACATTGACCAGAAGAGCCAAAAACATCTGCTCAACAAACCTACAGGAAGAAATTGAACACCTGAGGAAAGTCTTTGTAGAACGCAACCACTACCCACCTGAAATAGTCAACAGAACCATCGAAGCAACGCTTTCACCTCCTGCCAAAAGATCTAAACCAGAATCAGCCCCCATCAAGATATCCATTCCCTACATTGGTAAACCATCACACCAAATCAGCCGACTCCTGAAACAACAGGCAGGAATAGACACTACCTTCTCAGCGTCCTCCAGCCTCAACAACCTCCTCCATGCCAACGGAAGAAAACAACCCACCGTCAACAACAACAACCCGAAATGTGTTATTTACAAAATAGACTGTGATTGTGGACAATGCTACATAGGTGAAACATCCCGACCCATCAACACCCGAGTCAAAGAACATCGCACCTCTGTTGCTAATTCCGACACCAAATCAGCTATCTCTGACCACATCAAAGCCAACCCCAATCATCAAATAGAGTGGTCCGACATCACCATTCTCGCCAACAACCAAACGGACTTCACTAAACGCAAGCTCACAGAAGCCATTCACATCAAACGCCACAAGCCTACCATCAACCGTGACCAAGGATACTTCATTCCATCTGCTTATGATCCACTCCTCCACCAAGCCCAGTCTATTGTATAAACATCGCATCCATTGTATAAACATCTCATTGTAACTACATCTCTGGCTTCCATTCACTATCCTTTATGTACTTACTGGCTTCATCAGCTTACTGCTTAGCCAATCATGGCAATTATGTTGTTTCCTTTGTCTATTATGTTGTTTCATTGTTATATACAGTATATATATGCAGCTCCTACACTTCATGTATCACTCTTGCTTGACAACGGTACAAGAATCTGTATCGAAACGTCGCACTCACGAAAATAAAGAAGTTGTTATCCATAAAACTTGTTATATATTGTACGTCTCAACTTCTAAAATGCCACTCAAACAAGTTAGGTGTATCTTATATACTTAATGAGTGATTTGAACCTGTACATATTTATGTGATTCCATTTAATATACTTTCTTATATGTTCTTTCAGGCTGTTTAATAAATAGACCAGAAATAAACGTATCGGCCTCACAACCCACAGCCGTTTGTATTCTGTAACGGACGCAAACAAGACGCTGTTATATATATATATGTGCTTATAATCATATTTATGCTTCTCATATCATAGTGTATTTTATCATTGTACATGGTTTTAACAGATAGTCTCTCATAACTCCAAATGGAGTGGCTCATGTATTCTTTTTGTATATTATGCTGTATTATTTTATGTCCATTAGGTGAGACTCTAATAAATAATCTGTCTGTCTGTCTGTCTGTGACTGCCGTGCTTCTCATTCTGAGAGTCATTATGCATTTTAAACGTTGTTATCAGATTCTGTCCAGGTTAAGGTTTGTCATCATTGGTTAAGTGAAACCAGGGACCATATAATAATGATATTTATTATATGGTCTTTGGTGAGACTGAGTCTTGTGACCCCTGATTGACAGGAATGTGGTAACACCCACTGACCCAGGTCTGCCGAACTTTGAACCCCCCAGCTGACGCCTGATTCCTGCAGGTTAGAGTTACACGCCCTTGGACCATTCCAGGAGAAATGACAGCGGGCCATTCAAGTACCGAGGTCAGAGACAGTGTTGACCTATGTCACTGGTTTGTTGGCGCTTTGACCGTGAACATATGCTATATGGGATCACAGGTACGTTTCTTCTTATCTGACAGACCAGACTTGTCCCGAGACCATATGTATATTTGGGCGTTTACGTTGGAGGGCACACAGAGCGTTGCCTGGTCCTGTACCGTCGCCCCACTACCATGGCTGGAAATTATCACCATTGTAATAATATGTTTAATTATTTTTCTCTCTAAAAGTTGTTACTTTAATTGATTTCACAGTTGTAACATCCTAAAACATCTGTATAGATATTATACGAGCGCTTCACTAGCCAGTCGTCCAACAATAGTAACTGGCAGTAATTTAATGGGACTGTCAACTTATCAGAGAGAACATACAAAATACCCAGAGCAAACTTGTGGCACCAACTGACAGGTGACAGATGGGCAGCAGCAAGAGGGGGAAAAGAGACTCTAAGCCATAGATATAGAAGGATCATGAATCAAGAAGGCATCATACTATAACATGGTGGAAATAGAGACCATATACCGATATGGTCTCTGGTGGCAATTACAAATGTCTATCAGAAACAAAATGGTAAGAGTTACCTGCAAGCCATGGTGGGTCCTACAGTCAAGATGAAGAGACATGTTCTGACAGGAGGAACCTGTCATGGCTCAGGGTAACAATGTGAATGTTGGCAGGAATACTATCTCTTATATTTATCTTATTTATCCTATATTCATATATATATGATGATGTACAGCAAATTCCCATTCAGTCTTCTTCTTTTCTTCTTCAGTAAAGCTCACTGTTTTCACCGGTGCTTTCAATTACAAGTCAGTTGACAGTGACACAAGAAAACCAGTGAGCTGTTTACAGCTGGTAGAGCTGGTTGTATTGACAAGGTACACTTTAATTATTGATAAGTTGAAAGTCCAGTGTTATCTATGTTGCTTGTGATATGGTAAATCTGGCATCAGAAGAAAACTGACGACTTATGGTTGTTATTATCCCCCCTGCATGCTGGGGGATGTCGATGCCTCATCCGTCCGTCCATAAGCATTTTGTTGCCGGAGCATAACTCAAAAACTGTTCAATATTGTTCTACAAAACTTGGTATATATATCAAACAGAACTTATAGTGGTGCCTTTTGCTATTTACAGATTTTTGCCATTTATATTTTTCTCGATTTCCATGGAAACATTTGGACTTAGTCTCAAAAGGGAGGGGTGAGCCTCATTTCCGGAGTATAACTCGAAAACCGTTCAATATCTTTCAACAAAACTTGGCAGATATATGCGACAGATCCCAAAGTGGTGCCTTTCGCTGTATGCAGATTTTCCCGGTTTTCATGGAAACGATTCAGACTTAGTCTCAAAAGGGAGGGGCAGGCTCTGTTTCTGGAGCACGCCTCCAAAACCATGCAATATCTTTCTACAAGAGTTGGCAGATATATCAAACACACCTTGAAGTGCTGCCTTTTGCTATTTGCAGATTTTTGGCATTTAAATTTTTCATGATTTCCATGGAAATAATTTGGATTTAGTCTAAAAACATCAAGTTGTACTTTAAGAACTGTCAGACGATTTGTTCTTTCAAATTTGTTGGGGCTGAGGGGATTGTCATCTTCTGATGGCATCATTTCTCTAGCCCCCGTCCCCTAGCCCCCACCCCCTAGCCCCTGGTTGTTACAAGCCAATAATTAGTACCTCTAGCCCCTCGCCTGGCTGTTCTGTTGTGTAGTGGAGTCCTTCTGATGACTCATGTTTTTTTATCAGAAATACTCTACAGTATGGTGGCACAGATTCAGTATGTGAGTTTGTTGTCACAGAAATGTTCTGATGATAACAAATGCAGTAATTCTTCGGAATTGTGTGAAAAATAAGAACAAAAGGACATCATTTTGGTATATAAGTGAGGCGGCCATAAAATATCCAAGTCCCGTGCTGGGATTCGAACTACGGACGTTCTAATCCAAAGTCGGACGCCTTGTCCACATGACCAAAGAGGTTAACCCCGTCAGCAAGCTGACAAGGTAAGGATGTCATCTGTGGGATGACTCCACGCCCTGCTACATAAGGACATCCAGTTTGCTTTGTTTGCTAATTAAGTAACTGACTTTATATATAGATATACTGTGTTCAACAAGGATATTTAAACTGGAAGATAATCACACAGTTCTTGGCCCTAAATGTACGAAACAGTAAAAACCAGTAGAAGCATCTATAGAATAATAAAGATCGTAGACAATGTCTACCCAATGTCTAAGTATGTCTTTATTACTTTGGCATGTCCAGTTTTCTTCATTTTCAGGATGAATGTGATGTTATTTTCTCTGCTGTCCATTAAATAATAATAATGTCACTTATAAAGCGCAAATGTCCACACACTTATGAATGTTCAATGCGCTGAAAAGAATTGATTAAAAGAGTCAGTCATAGGCACTTTGAAACAGGTGAGTTTTAACTTTTGACTTGAAGGTTGACAGAGATTCACATAATTTGATTTCTAAAGGTAAAGAGTTCCAAAGAGTTGGTGCAACATAGGAGAAAGCCCTTTTCCCATACGAAACTAGGTGGAATTTGGGAACTTGTAGTAGGTGCTGATTCTGGGACCCGGAGTGATCTTGATGGAATGTATTCTGTGATGAGTTCGGTGAGATATTCTGGAGCTTGATTGTGGAGACAGCTGAAAGTGATGCAGAGAAGTTTGAAGTTGATTCTCTGTTGGTTAGTATTACATTATGTAAAACAAGCCAGTTTATCAAACATAACATATTTACATTTCAGAGACATAAATGTCAATCAGCTCTGTAGTCAATTGTTTCACTTAGCTGGCTTTGTATTGTAATTAATTACACACGAAATACAGAACGTGCAGGAAGTGTCGTCTGATATCAGAACAAGGGAGTTAACTGTGAAAGGCTTACAGGTCGCTGTCATGGTACTGGCTGTTTGCACAAGCTGCCGCGGACTCTGTAATGTCACTACAATCAGTACAGGGTTATTACTGTTATTCAGGATACACTGGTTGTGTCTGCCATTTTACATAGATTTTCATAATTTCTTTTTGGATCATACCAGGAATGTGCATATCTGCCTTTGACTCACTTAGCCATTTCTCATTGAGTAAGAATCTGAAAATATTAAAGTGAAAAGCGAAGTAATTGCTGAGAAAACATATGATGCAGAAGTTGACATTTTATGAAAGTCAGTTTCCATGGTAACTTAGAAAAAATTGAAGAAAACCTCTAGAAAGTAGAAAACATTCTTTTGCTTAATGTTGAGCAATAATTCAGCATCTCTTTCTGTGAAGATTTCAAAGCATTCAAGGCATTATAATGCCTTCAAAATGTTTTATGGTAGACATGTCCGAAACATTTCTAAATCTGACACATCAGTGACAATATTGATGAACATTTAACAGTTTTGATTTATAATATGTTCAGTGTTTTCTGGGTGAACCGTTGACTGACACAATGGCTAGGGGCTGGATATGCTCACTGTTTCCCTAGGATGATAATTATATGATAGTGATTCATAAACACTTTTCTTATGATAAGGACAAATGGTACAATCTGTTTGAGCAAAGTTGCTTCTGATTATAGAAATGTCTTAATTTCTCACAAGGCAGAGTAAGCATGTATAGTCGCACAAGGAAATGGTTTTCAAACACAGTCAGTTTGATCAGCTGTAATGGTAAAATTGATTGTGCCACCTTAACAAAAATGTCTTTCTTTCTGATGCCAAGTGCCAGCCAGGGTCACAAGCAGCTTCAGTGTATTTCAGGCCTGAGTATTGAACCGCCAACCTTCTGCCTCTCCGAGAAGACAATTTATTACTCACCTGTTGAAGATATCACTGTTAAATAATTTTACAATGATATAAGACATTGTGTAATAACATTGCGTGATGATGTACGTACAATATGCCATCACAGTGGTTTTCAGTTATGACATCACTTACATGGTGTATGTTCCTATTGACTTGTGAGTTCAGTGTCCTGAGACATCACTTACATGGTGTATGTTCCTGTTGACGTGTGAGTTTAGTGTCCTGAAACATCACTTACATGGTGTATGTTCCTGTTGACGTGTGAGTTCAGTGTCCTGAGACATCACTTACATGGTGTATGTTCCTGTTGACGTGTGAGTTCAGTGTCCTGAGACATCACTTACATGGTGTATGTTCCTGTTGACGTGTGAGTTCAGTGTCCTGAGACATCACTTACATGGTGTATGTTCCTGTTGACGTGTGAGTTCAGTGTCCTGAGACATCACTTACATGGTGTATGTTCCTGTTGACGTGTGAGTTCAGTGTCCTGAGACATCACTTACATGGTGTATGTCCCTGTTGACATGTGAGTTCAGTGTCCTGAGACATCACTTACATGGTGTATGTTCCTGTTGAGAGTCGTGTGAGTTCAGTGTCCTGAGACATCACTTACATGGTGTA